GTCCTTAAACTCATAGAAAAAGCATCCTTATAAGTGTGTGTTTGATGCAAAGGCTACACACGCAATGTTATGCCTACATTTTTGAAATAGGCAGCGAGGAAACCTTAGACTCAAACAAGCGCGAAACTTATTTGGTACTACTTGGAGATGTAGGGTGTCAGGCATTGAACAAACAGAAAAAAAAACACATGAAAAAGAAAAGTATATGAAACAGTTTTCCTAGGACCAGAGCTAACTTTTGGCATCCTCTACAGTACAAGCAAGCATTGGTGACATGGATACAAAAAGAAGTTGTGAAAACTCAACATCAGGAAAGATTTCAATGATGCATGTCTGAAGATCAGATTCCTTAGTAAAAAATATTTAAATACAAAAAAAAATTGTTGTCTAACCTAAAATTGCATAATATGGTTATCAGCTTATTGAAAACATTTGCAGTTTTTATTAAAACTGACTTAATGGGACTATAATTTTAGAATCAATTTACAGAAAGAAATTAGCCCCATTTTTCAAGGACTTACGTGCTTCTAAATCAGATCAGAAAGGCCAATTGCTTATCGTGAAAATGGCCTTTCCATTTTTACCGCCTTCCTATACAAAGGGGCAATTTGTAGCGACCTTTACTTTTTCCCCCCAATCAATATCAATAACATTATGAAATGTTTTGGAACTGACCTGACATGACCTGGTATCACACGTGCTATCGATTACTCGTAACATACCTTTAAATAAATAAAAAGGCACCAGGAACTAATTTTCCCACTTCAGACAGAGCATGCCCTTCTATAAAATTACATGAATTTTTAATAATATTAACCACTGCTTTGTAGGAACCATTTCTATAACTTCATTTTTTGATCAACGGTACTAACTTAGGTGAAATATGACAGCAAAAATAGAAACTGAAAACTTAAAACAAACACATAACATTTACAGAATCGCAGGAAAAGACATGCCACTTCTAACGTTATATTCAAAACAAATGAAATGACATTTGAATGCCGGAATACAACTAGATTAAATCGTCATAAAACTTACATTTTTCTAGAAGCCATCCCAAACGAGCGAACAAGACAGTGTCATCACAAACAAAATAACGAAAATAAAACTAGAAACAAAAACCTATCGCGATTCTCTGTTTTTCTGTCAGCTGAAAGACGCCATGACCGCCGTCAGCGTCGAGACGGAAAATAATCAATAAACGTGCGATAGCGAAAGTTAAAACCGTTGCATAGCAACCCCTCAACTCCATCTCTTTTACAGGTACGGCACCAAACAAATAGGGGTGGCGCGAGATTTGTTTTTGACACTCCTATGGCTTTGATACACACGCAAAATGAATTAATATGAAATGAAGGCGATGTCACAGTCGATATCTCTGATTCGGTAATCTCTAGCAAAGCAAAATCAAATTAATGGTATAGATATATTTTTGTGGTGTTTTAACGTTCACATAATAATGATATGCGATGCATAATGATATATATTGTGTCTTTTACATTATTACAAAAAATTGTTAGTGGATCTCAGTCATCATTTCAAGGTTAATAAAGTTAGACACAAACTAAGAGAGTTCCAGAGTCTTCACGCTAGAGATAAAACTGCGTAAATATAAAAATTGGCGAAAACATGGCCTGCAATTCTTACAGTTTGGAAATTACTGATTACCTATTTAGTATAAAAATATTTTTTTCATTTTTCCCTAATATAGCGAGAATTCTACACTATGTACTTCTACTGACAATAATAAAAACAAATTCAATTCTTATACAGGGTGATTTAGAACTTATCCAAAAAATTTAATTTAATTTAATTTAAAGGAGGAATCGAAAATTATTTATTAAAAATACACTTGCACGGCACTGGAAACTGGTCCACTGTAAAACCTGACCTTGGCGCAAGGCAAAACATGTAGTCGGCGACCGGCACGGTGGCAATGTGTAATAAAAAGTGAACGGACAAAAAATTGAAAGAATTCTTTCCCAAGGAAAGAAATAAATTAAATTTTATAACACCTATTTTATATCAGCAGCTGCTGTTATTATTAATTAATAAAATTAATTTGTGGTTTTAATTAATAAAATAATTTGACATACCTGATGTTACAACAACTGTTCAAAATTTTGTCCATCGACAGGTAAACACATTTGGGTCCGTCTTACTCAGTTTAACTAACGCAAATGTTCCCTTGCTCTACCATAACACAAATGTTGTCTTGCTTTACCATAAATTAAAACGATATCCATCAATACACGCAAGCCATTTTCAACATTTGAAAAACTAATGTAAACACAATCGTAAAAACGTTAATACCTACTCAAATCGGATTTCAGTATCCGGAATCGCCTGGGACAGCGATGTAAGGGTTTAAAATACTACAACTTCAACAATTTTTGTCTCGGAAACTATAAAAATTTGTTTACGATATTGACACCATTCTTCATGACGCATCTGTTCTCAATTTTTTTTTTTTGGATAAGTTGTAAATCACCCTGTATATATCAAAGTGGAAGAGAAGCAATACGTTAAGTATGGTTAACAGGTTTTTCCTGACACTTTGCCTCGTTAAAATATGTACAGAGGAATGAGGGTTACTAAAAGGAGACGTTAGCTTCATTATCTCCTGGATAAATCCCAAGAGTTTCTTTTGTTCTACAGTCCTCTTGTGTTCATCATTTTTTTTTTCAAATATATCAACTAGTCATAAATGCTGTGACGGAACTTAACGAACATTAACAATTACTAAAACGTGCTGATAGCTATATTAAAGAAAATATGATCCATTTAAAATTTTTAAGTTTTACATAACGATGAAAATGAAGTCCAACTGAATGAGATTTCAATGTAACTCATATTATAAAAAGTGCTTACTAAAGTTCTTTATTTTATTATTTATGATTGTACTTACTTTTAGAAATCTAAACTTATTATTTATTAAACCTAATAGAGGGTTCAAGGAAACAGTTTCTCTATGCCCGTACTGTAGCATAAAGTGCTAAACATGCTTTCAATTTTGAACTCCAAAAGCGAGCTCATAAAAATTCGCTACTGGGATTAACGCAGTAAAAAAATATTATCTTAAAAGCACATAAATTAAAACCGTAGTAAAGTTCCGTTGTTTATTAAGGTAATAACTTCAAACATCACAAAAGTCAAATTAAGTTCCCGCAGTGTAAAAAATTCCATTAATTACACCTTTTGTTCGTGTCACCAATGCGCAACTGTCATGAGACCTCTACTGTTTTTGTACGTGCACCATAGATAATTTTGCAAGTGTCAGCAGGATATGATCCTGCTTTTTACGCGGATGTCAAAGGGTAGATAATGTTTTACTCTAATAGGGGAAAATTCGCAAAGTCATAGTATAATCATCCATTATAGATAAAACACATCAAGCAGTCCTGTGGATTAACTGAATCGTGCAGAAAAGACTGGGTACTGTGGTGGGCTGCAGTAGCCATCAGCAACGTAAATATATTATTTTGGTGCATTCACTTAAATAAATTTTTTTGTATTTTCTTTTCCAATTCTCTATCATTTTATTGAGTGTAATTTTTGCTTATCGCCTCTGTTTTGCAACGTAGATCTAACAACATGATTAGGTTGCATGGTTTTGGAACATCTACCTCTTGGTAGTGCATCAGTTGTCTATTGCAGATGTATCTGATACATCTGGATGCCATGAACAAGTTAGAAAGATAGTAGAAAATTTTGAAATAATCAACTTTCTTGCTATGAGCTGCACACAAAAGGATTAAATTAATGAATAGTAATTGTTATACAGGGTATTACTGAACTTACGTCAAAAATTTAAAGGGGTGAAAAAGGAGCAAAAGCTGAGTTAACTGATGTCACAAACTTGTATCGGAAGTTTAAGGTCATAGAGAAAAAAGCTAATTAAAAATGTGTTTAAAACTGTTTTGGAACTGCTGAAATACATGTATTTTATCGCGGCGAATACTTACAAAAAATTGTGTAACACTTTTTACGAGTTTGTAGATTTCTTATGAAACCGGACTGTATTCGAAAGTCAATTTGTAATAAATTGTTGTAGTGAATGCTGTACTGTTGAGAGTACTTATTTTAATAGCCATATTTCCAAGTTTTCTTTTGAAAATGGTGCATTTATTTAGCAATTGCGAATATTATGATATGCTCATAATTTACGGCGAAGCAAACGAAAATGTCCACAGAGCTTGTCAAGTGTACCGTGCAAGATATCCTGAAACATTTGTTGCTGTAGCACAAAGAGTTTTGGACACCGGTGAAGTATAACCGTGTCGAGGTCGCGATGATGACCCAAGGCGACCACTAAGAATCTTAAATGTCAAGGAGATGATTTTATGTCTCGTCGAAGAAGACCCGCATCGTAGCAGCAGAAATATCGCACAACAAGTAGATATTTCACATCCTGTTGTGTGGCAGACATTATGAGAAGGTTAGTTGTATCCATTTAATATTCAACGTGTTCAAGCGCTTACTCCTGAGGCTTTTCCACTACGTCGAGATTTTTGCGAATGGTTGCTTTAGGAACATGCAAGAAATCCTCAATTTACAGCGCAAATACTTGGTACAGATGAAGCATGTTTCAGTCGAAATTGTGTTCATTCAAAAGTTCATTAACACCCTGTAATTTTCATGAAGTTAATGGTACGCCTATGACCAATTAAACAATATTCAATCCATTCTATTTCATAACAGACTATAATGTATTAATGATTTTTTACAGTTACGTCTTAAGACTGAAAAATGCTTTGGAAAGATTTGTTTATTTTCAAGTTCACAGAATTATATTAGTCAAATATAAGTGAGTATTTGTTACATTTTCGTTACGTTTAACATTTAATATTTAATTCAAACGATCAAAATTTGATAATAAATACACCGAATGTTTTAAAAAGCTCTTAAATCCTACAATACAATGTTGTATCTAAAGGAAAGAGACCGGTCCTGTTATAGACAGCCGTCTGAAGCACGCTCTGTTTGTACCACTAACTCACCTTGTCCTCCGCTTCTTCTGCTCGTCCCTCCGCCTCCAGAACTCTCTGCTCGAGCTCGGAAAGCTGAAACCAAAAAAGAAAATTAATGACTCTTCCCAGCTAAAGTATTGTTCGTTGTTGTTGCTTTCCTTAACGAACGTCAAAATGTCTTTACACTTGGTGTTCCCACCATTTCAAACAGCGTACTGCCCCCTAGCGAGACCACACAAAAGCGGCCGTTTCTAACGAGGGTTGCTAGGTGTCGCAACGGGGGTTGTACGTGGATAGAGAACTTTTAGGTAGGCAGCTCGACCCTTAAAACGTTTCATAGCCTCGACGTAATATGTCTAGATAAATGAAACTCCCATAAAAATGTGTGGTAGAATATGAAACTTATATATCAGGAATTCTATATGTAATATTGTAAAAGTGCACAGGTTTCTTAGTATACAAATATGAGCACTGAACTCTAAGTTTAATATTCAAGTCATTATATAAGAATTCATGTGAGTTCTGGGGAGTCTTAAAACAATTAGTTCATGATACAAACTTTAAATTTAGTAAAGTGCATTTGTCTCATTTAACTACATGTAAAATTTGAAGCAAATCAAGTCATAGCGTCGTAAATGAAAGAATTTTGAAAGGCCAAAAGAGTTATCTGATGTCAAAAAGACTATTTCCAACAAAATTATTGAATGTTGTAAGCATCAGCAACAATACTCCTACATCCTACATCCTACTCAAAATCAGTATAATTTACATCAATCACTTATAAAAATGAAAGACAGCTAAATTGATGAATTTACAAAATTTTGTAAATGCATTTGACGCTACTGGAACATATGCAGAGCCTTCATAAATGTTTACAATCCACGTGAAGCATTTTGGAGACCTTTTGAAACGGAACAAAACGAAATTTAAATAATTAAATATGTTGTTGGTCAAATGAACATGAAATATTTTACATATTATATATAAATTATTATAATTTTTTGGCCTTAGCAGAAAACTTTTTTAGGGACGCCTATGAAACTCATTAAATTTTATTGTTAGGCGTTTTTATACATGTTCAACTGACTTCGGAAAGACTATAACCTTGAACTTACTATTTTAATAATTTTTAATTTTAGCGAAATTTAATGACCAACATGAAGGAAATAAAATTACTTGGCACGTGGCTGGTAAACATTTACGAAGATTCTGTATTTGGTTAGGCAACGTCGATGCGACCGACATTTTAGGTTCAGCTGGTAACCTATGTGTATTTTAGGTTGCCTAAGCTTCGCCTGCGGGTGTTTGGTCTTTGTTAATTGAATGTCTGTTGGTTTTGAATTCAAGCAGGGACTGTAAAAGGGGTGTTTATCTTCAAGAGGAAATTTCAGCAAGTACCTTTTTAATTATGGACAAGTTTATGCTTTTGACTTATATCTTTTAATATGAGAGTAAAAGGGGTTTCCGTTTGCATATTTACAATAATTTGTTTTCCTAAAAGAATATTACAGTTAATATTTTACTGAAATTTACATAGGCGGAATACTTCGTTTGTAGTTGCTTTGTGTTACACAGTCAAGAGTATTCTGTAGGACTAGAATGTTTAATATTGTTAGAAAATTATCAATTGTCTATTTTTATTTACATTTACATATAGACCAATCAATAGAGCATTAAAATCGGTGATTTTGTGACAAAAATACTAGTAGCAAACAGACTATGCAGTCATGTAAAAAAACGTTAAATCTTCTGACGGGTTTTCTTCGTTTTTAATTATCCGATCGAATCGATCGACTTCTCGTTTTATTCGTATGAATCACTCGTATTCGTAATGAATCACTAGTTTGTTTAAATAAAAATATTTTCATTTATAATACAGATTTACTGCTGAAAATCGTTATACATCAAAATAAATGTGTAGATAGATAATACCTTCAAAATAAACAGTTACCGGCCTTTTCATTGAAATACTTGTCTTGAATTGAATTGCAGTATTGCCGGATAAGAATCTATTGACCTTCCGCATATAATTATGTGAACTAACGAATAGCGACGCTTTTTATCAAAACTTTGTTATATGTAGTTTTGTTTTAATTAAAATTGAACAAATAATTGAAATTCAAACTGGTATTAATTACATAAATGAAAAAAATAATTTACATTGATAAAAATTACCATACAAAAAACATAATAAACCTCTTGTTTAATAATATTGACTACACTATAATATTCAAAACCATATATAAATAACTTTCTTCTTCTTAATAACCAGAGCTGTCATAATTTATAATGTAATAACAAAATAGAGTGAACAATGATTATAAGATTTATGTCATTGTATCATTATGAAACAATTGTTTTACGCATCGTTGTCATCGGTTCCACAATCTGGATGGAATCCGTTATAGATCGCATAGTAGCATCAAGTATGTTGCTACTGTTGTTTCAGCGAAAGGACCCCGCACAAAACATATGGAAAAGGTGGTACACTCAAATGATCTAAAAATTTAGTATGTTGTTCCTCACGACATCCTGATCAAAAGTCCCCATAAGCACACCTCTGAAAATGTATAGTTTTTGAGATATGAAGCAGTAAACATCAGGAATATTGGTTAATTCCTTCAGATGCGTGTAGCTCCGTTGCTATTTATTTTACAAAAAAAAAATATATTATAAAGTTTCAGGTTTTTGCAGTGTTAATAAGACAGTGTGATCAAATTGGTCGTAAGCACTTTCGTTTTCAAGTTATAACATAAACTTCAAGTTTTTTAAATGTAATTATCTATTTGCACTTTTTTATAACCAATGTTAGCACAGTACATTCATTCCAAGTACTGAAACTTTTTCAAGTTTATTGTTTCCGTTTCTCTACATTGGCCTAAGTGATCAAAATCTGTAACTCAGTTTCGGATATGAATACATTTTATAAAGCAATCTCTTTTAAATTGCAGTGTTTATATTTTCAAAATACTCTTTTACAGCTTCCCAATATTAAATCCGACTGCCGCCTGATCGAACCGGAGGAGCAACGATCGGTTCCTAGGAAAGGGTCATGCAGCGTGCTGTTTTATTTTACAACCGTCATGAAAACTGAGGCTGGAAGAGGGTTGGAGGTGGCTCACGGAGACGTGCTGGGAAAACTAAGGCGACGCCGGACGCAACACGTGGTTTGATTTTTACTAATTTTCTATTTAATGCGAGGGATTCAAGTCAAGGATTTGGAAAAATTAGTTATGTTTGTGGTGATCCCCCACATTTAAAAAATGCCTCTTAAATGCATCCATCATAAACACTATTTTTTTAAGGGAAGATTTTAGACTTTCGTCATGAATTTTTAAAAATATTTTAAAAATTGGAATTGGATATCGTTTCTAACATGTTGTCTATTAACACTGGTTACAAAAATGTGCTGGATTAAAATTAATCGGAACTGTAGTTGCTATTATTTGGTGGAAACAAGGCAAAAGGCAGCAGAAGATAGCCAAGAGAAAGTTATTTTCGAGATTAATATTGGTTAAAGGCAACAAATTGGCAGAAAATAAGAAGCGTGAAGTCTTCGTTTGTGAAAAACAACAATAAGCTAGAAACTAACCTAGCAGCTGTTCTTGTTCACGCAAAAAAAATCTTATTTCAAATGTATATTTGAATTTAAGGTATCGCACGAATTTTCTTTATTCACGAAAATTATTTATTTATTTAAATATTTTAAATTTCAATCCAGAAATATAATTTCATACTTTAAATATAGGAAACATTTAAAATAAGTATTTGATACTTACGGTTAAACGAATTCTATTCTTAATTTTATGATCTACGTAGATTTTATAGAAACATGTTTTGTAGGTACTGTATATTAATATTAATGTATCGTTTATTTAATACAAAATTGAATAGTTTTGGTCAACTGATTGTATACCGTATACCTATATTTATTTTAAGAATATATTTGGATATAAATATTTTTCAGTCAGCAATCAGCATTAAAAAAAATTTTGTTTCAAACTCATAACACCTAGTACAACAGATAGGATCGTTCGTAAGTTTAACCAACCAGACATAGGTCGGTCTGGGACTTATTAATAGTCCTCATTATTATGTCGTTAGAACGATCCAGCTGCTTTAGTGTCGTTATTCACAATGGGATGTGTATACACAGAGCGTAAGTGGCTCCATCTATCGTGCTACTTCCCACCTACACCATTCTGTCACCTACTATAATTTTCTTTCAAGAAAACATAAGTTTGATTATAATACGCTTCATTTTACAATTTTAAGGAACTGGTAGTTTTGAAACAAATATGTTTGCAGTTTATAATGAACTGTAAGAGATATTGTAGCTAAAGTGCGAGATAATAAATTTCAAACCTATAAAGATTTGTATTCAATTATATATATTTACAAATAATATAAATTCTAAGAAAAATTATAGATTACAGCAAATATTTCACATAGTTTGACGAAAGTATACATTTGAATCCAATAAAATAACATCTGCTCATTTGATCCAAATACTTTTTTTTTCATTGTTATGGATACAATGCGTTCATAATTAATAATTTTAAAAAACCTTTTGATTAAGACGTTTAAAATAGGTCTTGTCAGAAGTCTTGCGTGAAGTAAAGTTACAAATTTTTTGAAACTTCATCCCATAAGGTAAGTTTTCGTTGGAAAGCGCCGTATTCAGCTTCTATAGTTTCTTGTATTGTGAACAGAATTCACGGCACTCCATTTCGGAAGCCATGGAACAGTATTAATCTTAATTAACTGGGACTGCAGTAAAATTAATGCATTTCATAATTTAGGGAGGCATAATGGCGGAACACAATAGGCGCGTGATTTAGTGTTATCATAGATTCATTATTACAATAAATCCCGAGTTAGGTACACTAAGTTCGTTAACTCAGGGAAATATCTGTAAAATATTAGTGAGGTGAATTTTATTAGGATTTGACAAATTACTGTTCGTTATGCTTCATTATTTATGTATGTAGATCATAAAGAAGATTATGGAAATACTGTCAGTTGAGTCGATATCAATTCCAATAATAAGTTCTTCCTTGAAATAATATAATCGAAGTGGAAACCTTGTAAAG